GCCCCCCTTTCTTTCCTGCCGTCGGACCAATCCGTCAATCAAACAATCAACGGTAATGATTTTTCCCGCTTATCAACAATAATTAATCAGTCGGTCTACAATTTTTTTTGGGGGGGGAAGAACGGGTCGTGCCGAATCGTGGTATGTCCCGGTATACTGATTTTTTTCTGGAGCCGTTAGAAAACGCATACTGACAAAACGAAATTGGAAGAAGAAACATCCGCAAGAAAACCAAGTACATCTATTTAAAAAAAAAAAACAAAACAAAACAAAACAAAACGTCATGGATTGAAAACATAAAAAGACGCATGGAAAGAAAGTCGGAGAAGGAGACTTATCCTCAAAGACAGTGGTACCTCTACCTTCCTTTTTTCTCTTTGAGAAAAAAAAGGCTCCTTTGATATGGTCATCTTACCGATTCCCGGGGGCGTTAAAAAGAAACATAGGAAGGAAATATGCGCAGACTCTTTCTAGGGCCGTTGAAAAACACTTTGAAAAGGTTAGAGAGGGGTTTATCAACCGGGTTTACTTGCTGGGTATGTAGGTTAGATAGGTATATATTGTGACGATATATATGTATTTAGATATGTATAGAGCCCCTCGTTTGTTGTGCTCTTCTCCCTCTCCGCCCTCGGTTTACCGGGCTGTTCTGATTTACGATATATACATGTATATGCAGGGTGCTGCTGCCGATCAGCGTCAATTTTGAACTGTACTTTCGATGATGCTCCTGAATTGAGAATCGATATCAAACTGATGTTAAGAGAGCCATCTTCTGTTCTTCTCTTCCGCTCCCTCCGCTTTCCTTTTTCCTTCCCTCTGTCATTCTGTCTCTCCTTGGCGTCTCTCTCTCTCTCTCTCTCTCTTTCTCTCTCTCTTTCTCTCTCTCTTTCTCTCTCTCTTTGCCTCTCTTTTCTCGCTAGCTTTGACTGTCTGTGACCTCGTGGCGGGAAGTTCCGCGCCGTTCAGCTCTTTTCGGCACCTTTACGAAAAGCGCGCGAATGCTAATCTTGCTTTCCGTTTTCTTGTCTCTCCGTTCCCTCTCCGTGTATCTATTTTTCTCTCTCCCACTCTTGTTTTTATCTGTAAGCGTGTATGCTTGTGTGCGAAGCTGTCTATGAATTTATGGATTAGTATGTTGGTCAGTAGATGGATGGACGAATGACTGGACGGGTGGGTGGGTGGCTGGGTGGCTGACTGGATAGGTGGATGGATGACTTGCTGGAAGGGGATTGGAGGAGGGGATGGGAGGGAGGGTGGGGGTGCGGAGGATGAATGGATGGGATGGGCTGGGTGGGAGGTGGGGATGAATGGATGGGATGGACTGGGTGGTAAAGGGGGGACGGATGGGAGGGGGTCAGGGGCATGGATGGATGGATGGATGGATGGATCAGGGTGACGGATTGCATGGATGCATGGATGGGGCGAAGAGTGGTGAGCGTAAATCTTTTTGAGCACGGGCTGAACAGATTTCGGATGGGAGGGGGTGTGGGATGGATGGATGGGATGGGATGGACTGGGTGAAAGGGAGGGAGGGGATGGGAGGTAGAGAGGCTGGGGGGGGATTGGATGGATGGATCGATGGATGGATGGATGCATGGATGGGAGGAAGACTGGTGATCGTAGATCGTTTTGTGTACGGGCTTAACAGATTTTGGATGGGAGGGGGTGCGGGGGATGGAAGGATGGGATAGGCTGGGTGGAAGGGAGGGAGGGGATGGGAGGAAGAGAGGGGGGGTGGGGGATGATGGATGGATAGATCAGCGCTGATGGATGCATGGATGGGAGGAAGACTGGTGATCGTGGATCTTTTTGTGTACGGGCCGGATTGTGGTATTCTTCCCCGAGGATACTAAGATTGGTGTAAAGACCATCAAGACTGACGTATCGATGCGATGGGATGGGATGGGATGGGATGGGGTGGATGGATTGATGAATGCATGGCTGATGATTGTAGATGGATTTGTGTATGTATGATCTTAAAAACAGATTTTGGTATTCTTCCCGGAGGATCCCAAGGTGGGGGTGAAGACGATCAAGACTTATGCGGAGCAAATGAAGAATGCCGGAGTCCAGAGGGCGATCCTTGTGGTGCAGCAAAACCTGACAGCGTTCGCCAACCAATGCCTCAGCGAAATGTCTCCCAAGTTTCAGCTCGAAGTCTTTAATGTAAGAAGATGCCGTTCGGGCCTCTAAGGGCATATACATATACTCAGACTTGTGCTTTTTGTATTGAATCTGGCCTAAATTGTGCGAGAATACGGACTGAATCTGGCCTTCGACTGTGCGAGATTACGCCCTGGAAAATCCTAGTGTGAGTATGCCCTAAGAGCGAMAWGAGAGAGAGAGAGAGAGAGAGAGAGAGAGAGAGAGAGAGAGAGAGAGAGAGAGAGAGAGAGAGAGAGAGAGAGAGAGAGRKGGGGGGAGAGGAGGAGAGAGCGGAAGGCGGGGGAAAGAGAAAAATAAATGCAGAAACGAGGAGAAGAAAAAGAAGACAAAGAAGAAGAGAGTATAGAACAGAGATATAGAGACCAGGGCTATGAGTCCAAGCTTTCCAGGGAAAAAAGGTGTCAAAGCAACTGCACAGACGGAATCATCATAGGTTACTCGAACGGGCACGTTCCCTGGCGGGTTTCGGCTGGTTGCCACCACCGCTCCTCAGGGGGCTAACTACGCGCCCGAGTTCCGCCACACGTTCCCCCAAGGTCGAGTCAAAAGTACCAGTGCTGCGGATGACGGTAATGACCGGGGGGAGGGGGGAGAGGGGTAAATTAGAATTGAAGAGAAAGGAAGACTACAAGGGAAAGCATGGTGACAAGGAGGACGGAGAAAAAGAGGAGAGAGAAGATGAAGACAGGGCGCTGGTAGTATGATGTAAAGGAAGAAGAAGAAGAGGCAGGGGAAGGGGAGGAGGCTGCTGTCTGAACTCTCTGCGATTCGGAATAGCAGGTGTGGTGCTCAGTGGTGCATACGTCTCAATTGCATACCGAGTCTTCCCCCAAGCACAGTGTCGGGTTATCAAAGCTGCAACTGGCCTGAAAATTGTGCTGAATACAGTTACGACGGCCCTGTATTTTTCTTGGGATACTGTCTCGAGTTCGCCCAGAAATCTCTGCCTGAGCCGCTGCGAGTATCTTCGCCCCTCCATCATCTGTTGGCGGGTAACGTCCCCACCTGCGGTTCTGGGTTGTGCATTCCCTATTCCCTATCTTCTCTGAGTTGATGGCGCTGGGTCCCGCCTTCCCTCCCCCCTTTTCGTTTGCTTTTTTTTTTCTCAAAGTAATTCCCTGCTTGCATTTCTATTTCGTAACGTCCGAAGGTTCTCTGCATACTGTCCGAAAGTTGTCTGCATAGTGTCCGAAAGTTCTTTGCTCCGTGTCTGAAGCTACGTTCCGTAGTGCCTGACGCTTCTGTGCGTGGTGTCCGAAGCTTTTGTGCGCAGTGTCCACTGCATAGTGTCCGAAGCTTCTCTGCATAGTGTTTAAAGCTTCATTGTGTAGTGTCCGAGGCTTCTGCGCATAGAAGCTTCTCTGCATGTGGTGTCTGGAAGCTTCTCTGCATAGGGTCTGCTTGTTGATGTAAAGAGGGCGGTAAAAGAGTGACACACACTGTGTTCGGTTGTCTTAGTTAGCTGGCATGTATGCACTTGGACACGTGCACCTTGTTTGAAGGAGGCCCAGCTCACTCTGTATGCTATTCTGTCCGAGTTTAGCATGGTGCTGATGCGGTAGCTTGTTCCTTAGTGATTACGTACATCGTATTTCTAAGTAGTTTCAATAACTATGCTGAGAGAATAGCAGCATGCAGGTTTGCCGGGCCTCGACGCTGCTGGTGCTTTTTTTTTTTTTTTTTTTGTTTATTCAGAGCGTTCCCACCCCGTCACTGACGATATCCCTTAATTTTCTCGCCTCCCACGACAGACAAAAAACAAGCACAAACGGACAAAAACAAGCACCATCTCGACTTCTGGTGCTTGTTTTTTGTCTGTTGTGGGAGGCGTGGAAATTGGGGGATAGCGTTAGACGCCTGATGGGCAATGTCATATCTTTAACCACCAGTGCCACTGGTGATGATTTCGAGTGCCTACGGGCACCCCGGCCATCTCCCGTGTGGGCCGCTGGTAGGGTTGGCCGCAGGCAATCGCTGGGGTTTTGCACAATGTTGAATGCCCCAACTGAAATATTAGCATGGAATTACCCGATGGGACTCTGGTCCTACTTCCTTGATATTAGTGATTGGAGTGACGAGGGAGAGGAGAATGCGCCAGCTTAGGAGAATACTACACTTGATTTTGAGTACTGCTCTTTTTCAAAACAGGACACCAAATAAACCAAACAAAGTATCTCCATGGCCGAAAAACGTGCTGATGGCAAAAAAAGAACTCTGTTTTTCTCCCTCCCTGCTGCGATAGGTAGGTCCGCATCGTTTGGTCTGCGGCCCGGCTTGGAAAGATAGTAGTGCTGGTTCGCTAAAATAGCATCAGGGGCATTGATGGCTCAATAGACTCTTGACGCTAGCCTCAAAATTCGTAACATAGGTAAGCCTAAACCCTACTGTCTTCACCTAAATAGAACGCCCGGTCATTATTGCTGTATGGAGACTCAAAACAATGCCCCAAAGTGCAGCCAGCTATAATGACCGGGCTTCCTATTTTGGGTGAAGACGGTAGGCCTTTGAATCGCCAGTACATTTCCTAGCCATTGTTTCAAAGTCGCAGCATGCATGCAGCCGCAACTTCTGGGGTCTTGGCCTCCGGAGCAAAATGGCTGCTGGCACCAACCATCGAAAAGGAGGCCCGCGCCGCTTCATTTCTCTTTGGCATGGAGGGCGTTTCCAGCTCCGGAGAAAAGTGCCTCGGAAGTACAGCTGGTTTAAACAGTACAAGCATAAATGAACACCGCGGCTGGCAACCTACTTTTCCAAGCCTCTCCTTTGCCCCGATCTGGGACTAAGGTAACCCTAGACCCTAGCAGGCCTTCAAACACGGGGCCTTACCAGCATAATAATAAATTGCCATTACCGCTGGCAACCTACTTTTCCGAGCCTCTCCGCTGCTGGCAACCTACTTTTCCAAGCCTCTCTTTTGCCCCATCTGGGACTTGGGTAACCCTAGACCCTAGTAGCCCTTCAAACACGGGCCTTCAAACATTACCAGCATAATAATAAATTGCCATTACTGCTGGCAACCTACTTTTCCAAGCCTCTCCTTTGCCCCGATCTGGGACTTAGGTAACCCTAGACCCTAGTAGCCCGTCAAACACGGGCCTTTAAACATTACCAGCATAATAATAGATTGCCATTACCTCTGGCAACCTACTTTTCCTTTTCCCCGACTTGGAACTCTTGGCCTCGGAATTCGTAATAGAGGTAACCCTAAACCTAGCAGCCCTTTATACAGTAGAAGCGTAAATCACCACAGATGCTGGCAACCTATTTTTGTGAGCCTCTCTTTTGCCTGGACGGCCCTAGACTTCAACCAATTTGGAGCAGATCCAGGTGGGCTGGTCTGGTGGGCGCAAGAGTTGTCAGGCTACCGGCAGGCTTAGCCAGGAGGACAGGTAGGCTGAGGCCGAACAAATGGGGGTCCAGTTTGTAAATGCTGAACCCTAACCCCCACAACCAACGCTGAAGCCTGGCAGCGGAAGTCTTTAACCCCACTGAAGTAATGGGGGTCCGGGTGTGTAAATCCTAAACCCCACTGAACGCTAAACCCTAAACCCCAGTCTCGGCTATGATCAGTTAGCACCATCATAGCAGGAAGATGGGCAGATGATTTTCTTTACTGTTCCAACTCTTTGTCCCGGGGGGTAGAGTTTGCAAATAGAAAACTCCCTATTCAACCTACAAGACTAGAATTCATGGATCTGAGGAGCACCGAAAAAGACTGGTGTGGACGGCTGTGCGGCGTGCAATCAGTCCGATCGTGTAACACGGAAAACCTCCGACCACAACAGCTCTTTGTGCGTTTTCGAATGAGCTCTTCAGGCAAAAGTGAGCTCTGCGGTGTGTTTGCACAAATTGGGGGAAAGACGTCGAATTGTTAAAAAGAAGGGAAATGAATGGGGTAACGAAGATCGACCGCGTGCATCTGTGCACGATATGCTTCTGTGCAGGGCCTGTTTGGGTGCTGCCTTTTTTTTGTTCTTGTAGTTGTTGTGCAGCGGCCATAAGAGGTTGTTGTTTCATTTCTTTTTCATTTCTGGTCTGTTCTGAGTGGGGTGCCTGTCTTGCAGGAGCCCGGCCCACGACGCCATGCTGAAAAGAATAAGAAGTGGTGATGGTGGTGTTATGGTCCCGCATACACCGCGAGCTGCACCCCCGCCCCACATGCACATATGCATGCGGGCACAGCTTTCGTACGTGGGTGGGGCTCAAGCCCAGGCACAGATCTCGAACTACCAACGGACAGACGAGTTAATCACTGAGGTAGACTGGGTTGCTGTCTGAATTTACGGACCTCTTCTTGTTGACTACTATATGTGAGTTAACGATTTAGGTAGTCTTTATCCCTCTGAATACGAGGACCTCTTCATGTTGACTGTATGTTATGTTCTGCCTTAAAAAAATCCTGTACGGCCTGGGCTACCGATCGGGCCGCCAAGGTTGCCTCTGGCTGCTTGGGTGGTCTGACCGGGGCCTGGTTTGCTCAGAATTGCGAATCATACCACCTATGGCCGGAGGTTACTCCAAAATCCCTCATGATATTGAAAATAAGAAATAATACCGAGACAACAAACATTATATACCACACCCTTTCAGGGCCCCTCAGACCCCGTCAACCTCCTCCAAACCCTGTTTATACCACCTCCAGACCCCCTAATGTGAGGCATGACCACATTCAAAGATAGGGCCAGATTCGGGTGGGTCTTGGTGGGTGGAGAAATGCCCTACCATGATGTTTTGGTAAAAAAAAGGAGAAGAAGAAGAAAAACTCATTATTTGGCTTGCCTGGGTGAGCCCAGAAGGTGCCTCTGGGCTGCCCAGCCTGGGTGCCCAGCAGGGCAGCTGGGCCTGGGCGATCCTGGTATAGTTAAAGCGATCTGTTTTTCTTGAGAAAAACAAAACAAAACAAAAAAAAGATGAAGGTTTGCCCAACTTTGCCGACTTATTCTGTGTCTTGGTTTGTAGATGGGAAGCTTGTAGCTCATTTCGCCAGTTATATTTCCACCCGGGACTAGGCTACGAGTGTGGACCGACACCAATGGCCCTGGAGGAAGCGGCCTGGCTCAGTTGGCCAGGCACGCAAGTGGCATTCGGGAGGTTGTGGTTCCAATCCCTACTGACAAGCCGGGTCACGCTTGGTGCCAACCAACCAACTGTGATAGCTGGCTTGCTCCCCCTGGTTGGTATTGGTAGGGTCTTTGGCCATCACGGGTGTGTGTGTGTGTGTGTGTGTGTGGGTCGTGTGTGGTGTGTGGGAGTGCTGGCCATAGACACTGCCCTTACTAGATGGGGGCGGGGGAAGTAGATGGGAGTGTGTGTGTGTGTGTGGGTCGTAAGTGGTGTGTGGGAGTGCTGGCCATAGACACTGCCCTTACTAGATGTGGGCGGGGAAAGTAGATGGGAGGCGCAGCTACTGTCAAAATGCCCGGTCTTTGTGTTAGCTCCCGCCGCCCCTCCCCGGCAGCCCCACCCTACTCCCTGACCGCCACCGATTAGGGCAAGGGGCAACATGCATGTCCTTGATTGTGAGAGGTACCTATGCTTGCAGTTCTCCTGTATAGGCGTATGAGTAGTGGTAGATAGGTAGTGAAAGGTGGAACTGAGAGAAAAATGTAGCTTAGTTTTATAACAACAAGAAAGGAAAAAAAGAGAATTTGTTGTGAGCCTGAGACAAAAGTTGTTTAGCCTGTTATTCTGCATGCCATAGTTTTTTTGTTCAGATTTTTGTGGATTGTTTCTTTTTTTTTTTTTGCAGGGAACTTGCCTGGCCCTTGCCTGGATGGGCTGCCCATGCAGCCCAAGGTGGCCTACACGGCTCGGTTGGTAGCTTAGACCTGGGCCTGGGAGCAACTTTTTGGTCACTGTTATGGCCCCTTGATCTCATTGGCACGAGAGCGAGTGTTGGGCTGGGGCGATAGTTGTTCATCTTTGTTGTTCATGTTTCCTTTTTTCAAACACAGGGTGCCCGCATTGAGGTATCATCATCAAACTGACCTTCGGGGTCCAGGTTGATAGTGGACAAAACCCGGTTCTTTCCCTATCTTAGAGGCTGATATGGCATTTTGAAATGAGGGTTTGAGCAGTGGATGATTACAGGTTTCTTTGTCATTGACTGGTTTGGGTGACGAGTGTATTGATGATCCAGTTGTTCGTTCGGGTGTGTAGTGTGTGCGAAAATTTCCACTCTGTGCAGCTGTCGTACGATATTTTAGAGTATACATGGCCTTGTCCATTGGCTTTTCGGCTTGGAAGTCGCTCTGTAGTTTTGGCGACTTATTATGCTTTGTCTACTTTTTCTCACATTCCTTGCTCCAGCCATGCCTTTGTGTAAGAGATCTAAAGATGTCATGATGCTCCTACTCCGATGGCAATTCCTTCAATGCTTTTGGCTTTTGGAAGTCTCTTTGTAGGATGTTTGGCCCAATGGTATGATGATTGTGTGCACGGTATCCAGTCTGTGAAGTCGTTTATCAGTTAAATGGATGTGTGTGGAATTTGACAGTCCCAATGTGTGTGGCATTCATCTGACGGGTGTGGCATTGGTCACCTAGCAGTGGGATAAAAGTTTATGGACGGGATCGCCTGCAGAGGTTCTTGGGAATGATTCATGTGCTATCTGGTAATGGCATGACTCTGACAGGAAGCGGAGCTGCTGGTGAATATTAAAGAACATGTCCTGGTGCCCGAGCATATCGTGCTAACTAAAGAGGAGACAAAGACGCTTCTGGAAAGATATACCGTCAAAGAAACTCAGGTACACTTCTCAATGTGAAAACCAGCCGCCAATTCGTGCTCTTTCTTTCTCCCTCTCTCCTGTCTCACACACACACATACGGAACACACCATAGGCGACGGCTGCTCCTCAACTCAAAATCTCCTGCAACCCAAACACTGACTGACCTCTCATGTCATTCTACAGTAGTCCTCTCCAGGGTCTACATCTACATCTACATCTACATCTACAATACTATAAGAATCACTAACGTCATATCTACCGGCCCAGCTTGCGGCCCGGTCACCACCTGCGGACGGCCCAGATCGCAGGCCGATGAGAAACTTTTCTCATCGGCCTGCGATCTGGGCTGTCCGCAGGTGGTGACCGGCCCGCAATCTGGGCCGTGCGATACCGGTTCGACCCGCCCAAATGGCCCTTCTGAACGTGCACCCGCGCCCAGCCCTGAAATCGCCCTTCGAAGTGGCAGGCTTCTCAATCGTCTTGGCCGCTACGGCACGCGACGGCATGCTACAGCATGCTACGGCATGCGACGGCACGCTACGGCAGGCGACGGCACGCGACGCACGCGACGTGCTCATCGTGCTCTCTCTCTCTGTCTCTCTTGCTCGCTCTCTCTCTCTCGCTCTCGGACTGTGCTCTCCTTTGGTGCTCGACGGGAACTTGCTGCTCATCTTTGGTGCTCGGTGCTCATCGTGGATCCCTGCTTTTCGTCACGTGCTGATCGTGGATCCGTTCTTTTCTTTGGTGCATCATCACGCGCTCATCGTCGATCCGGGCTTTTGGTGCTCGGTGCTCATCGTGGATACGTGCTTTTCGTGCTCATCGTCGATCCATGCTTTTCTTTGGTGCATGATCACGCGCTCATTGTTGATCCGTGCTTTTGGTGCTCGGTGCTCATCGTGGATATGTGCTTTTCGTGCTCATCGTGGATCCGTGCTTTTCGTGCTCATCGTGGATCCGTGCTTTTCTTTGGTGCATGATCACATGCTCATCGTCGATCCGTGCTTTTGGTGCTCGGTGCTCATCGTGGATATGTATTCATCGTGGATTCGTGCTCATGGGGATCCGTGCTTTTCTTTGGTGCTCGGTGCTCATCGTTGATCCGTGCTTTTTGTGCTCATCGTGGATACATGCTTTTCGTGTTCGGTGCTCATCGTGGATCCGTGCGCATCGTGAATCCGTGCTCTCTCTCTCTCTCTCTCGGGCCGTCCTCTCTCCTCCTTCCACAGAGAGAGAGAGAGAGAGAGAGAGAGAGAGAGAGAGAGAGAGAGAGAGAGAGAGAGAGAGAGAGAGAGAGAGAGAGA